AAGCCAATAAGAATCGGTTTACGGGTACCTCCCATACAAAATTGTCGAAGTTTTAGTTAAAGTGACCGATTTTTCACTTTATTTTTATTATTATATTTTCACTTCCTTTATTTCAAGAAAATTCACAAAAAATAACCAAAAGTACCTACGGACAACGAAGGTCAACGGTATGGAAAAGTTCGGGATTACCAATGTAATTCTTTTTATTCAATCAATGTTTTGATGTCGACTGCTGTGTTTTTCATTTTTCTTCAGATAAAAGCGTTACTTTTTCGAGAGTGTCATTCACAGTCCATGGCCAAGATGCACACACACACTCACAGCCACATTCCGTGCTCGAATGGATGCGTAAGAGGAAAAATGACGGCAAAACAAAACACTCAAAAAGAAAACGTTTGCACATTACGCAAACAATTTGATATAATGGTTTTTCATTTGTGCGGTGACATTCCGTCATGTTTCATATGTGAAGCACAATGCGTGCCATTAGTTGCTCAATTGTAACACATCATTTTTTTCTTCTTTCTTTCCTCCATTCTTTCTTTTTTCACTAACTTCCTTCGCATATAATCGAAACGAATGCAAGTGTGCGTGTGTGTTGTTGACTAATGTGTCATCTAAATTGTTTGGCAAAATGAGCCATTGCATTTGCAAATGGGAACAATCGCGCGCTGCAAATATTCGGAATAAACGAGTGTGTGCGTGTGAGAGAGAGAAAGCTCTGTGCGAATGATAGATGATTCAAGCTGAATAAAATATTTGATCTAATTCAAAACAATTTTCAAACCGAGTGAAATGAAAACGCGGGCGAGTACATATACCACGAAAGGCTTCGACGCCAACGAATGACGGCGACAACGGCAACGACAAGGGAAAACACCGGAAAACATGCAATGCAATGGAAGCGCGAACCAGCTTTAGATTTTTCCCTCGGCATGTGTGTGTGTGTGTGTTTTTGTTGTCTTTTTCGCTTTGCCTTCTGCTCACTGGATCGCCCGGTTTCCCTTTTATTTTCTCTCTCTTTTCGCACAAACTCACTCTCGTCATACCGCCGTTTGTAATGTTTTTTTTTTCGTCCCTGCGAGTTGAATGAGCTCACGTGAATCGAGTAATGTTTGGCTGCTGGCATAACATGGTTATTTTTCGCTACATAATCCTATATGCTGCAAAAGCTTTCTCTGCCGATTCTTATCCATAGCCGCGTATGCATAGCAACGTAGTACCATCGTGTTACCGAATTCGTTATTTGTGCGCTTTAACGCTACATTCACATTTTTGCCATTTGCTAGTGTCGGCTGTTCATTTTTTTATTCTTTTTCTGTTTGCTCTCTCTCTCTCTTTCTCTCCTTTTCGGAGTAAAAGATTTATTCACAGTTCAGCGGTGGCGATGGCGGTGGCAATAGCAGCGGTAATACGAGGTGCAGGGTGCAGCCATTCATAATATTGCATAAACACATAAAGGAAGGGTGGAGTGTGAGTAAACAAAAAAATAACGGTTATAAGACAAGTAAGAGCCCTAGAAAAAAGTACAACTTTCGCAAAAATCGCATATTTGCCCATCAACAAACGCTTTTGGACGCCGCACAACAAAGTGCCGGTCGAAAGGGAGAGAAAGAGAGAGAGAGAGAGAGAGAAAAACAGCACCCGGAAAAACTGGCACAATGGGATTCCGAAAAATTGAAACAATGAATTGCACTGGAGCACATGAGCTCACACTTTGTACATGGCTATTTTTTTTGCTGCTGCTGTTGCTGCGACGCCACACTCACTAGTTCACTCACCCACACGTGCAAATACCGAATAACAAACTCTATTCGACCCATATCACCGCACTGAATCTAAACGCTGAAACATTTACATTCACAGTAACTCCCAATAGATTTTTCAAACAACACACATTTTGCATAAATTGAAACAGTGAAACGAACAAAACCAAGAAGAAGAATCATATGAGCTACAACAACACCAGCAGCAACATCAGTAGTATGAGCAACAACAACAATACCAAATCAAACTTATCTAATATGCGTGCATTTGATGTTGGTCCCAGCCTTTCACCTCATTTTACTCAATAGCATTATTTGAGTGAACGATAGTTCCTTTTTTGCAGAAGCTTTTATTAACAAAAGCACTCACAGCGATGCGATGCGATGTGTGCATGTGTGAGTTGGGTATTTGGTCAAATGTGGAATGAATGAAGTAAAAACGGATGTCATAAAAAAAGGCAGTACTGAAACAACAGTAAACGAGGACGAGCCAAAAGAAAAGCAACGCACATTGAAAAACTGTAAAAATCACTTCTTCACACTACTAAAATGGTAGTAAATATTTCGGTTTTGTGCTCATTTGAGAAATAAATGGCGCCGCACGTTTCACACTGTGTCTATCTCTCGTTGGGCGAGTTTGAACCGTGAAAACTGAAATGAATTCTGTATTCATGCCGAATTAAAACTCAATATCCACATTAAACCACGTTGCTTCATTAAAATACTCATCAACTATTTAATAGCAGTTGAACAACATCGTGGCCAAACGGTATTATTGAACTTTTGTGAGAGTTCATTTCAAAATCGAAATCGACATTTTTTTTTTCATTTGAAACAGAAAAAAAAAACAGTAACAAAAACATTCACAATACAAGTGATACAGTTTTCATTTGTGAGTATTGAAACGTGTATCGAATCGGAGGTGTGAATCGGTTGTGGAGTTTTATGAAGTGGCCTCACGATGAGTAAAGTGATTTCATTTGCCGTTCAATATATGCACGGTTTGATGTTGATATGAGGATTTTCATCATGTGGTTTAAGCGATCACATTGTATGCAATTTTCTCTTCTGTCATTTTCCGCCGTCACCGCATGAATGCCAATCGAATGGAGAATCAAAGAGAATGGGAATCGTTGAAAACAAACTTTTTTTTTGGTTAATAGTAACTATTTTTAGACATATCATTAATTCGTCAAAGTGATAATATACTCGATGTCAATTATGCATCATGGCTGCCATTCCTAGCTCATCGTCGCGTTTTCCTGCTCTAATCGAGATAAAGTCGGGAATTCTTTAGCGAATTCTTCTAGAGATTTGCGTTAAATTTATACTTTCCCCTTCAAAATTCGGGCATATATTATCGCCGTAACAATTTGCGTGACGCGCACAACGGACGAATCCGTTCAACTTAATGGATAAACGATGTCAAAGTTCTAATTTCGATGGTTTTTCTTCATCGTCGTCGTCGTCGTCGTCGTCGTCGTCGTCGTCTTCATCGTTGCCGTTGTTGAAGTTTGTGTACGGTGTGTCTTTTCCAT